TCATTGTCGCGGTGAACGCGCTGGTTCTATCGAGCGGCCATCAGCCCCCCTCCCGACCGCCTCCCGCCGTGTTCCGCATCGTCTCTCGTATCTCTCGTATCTCTCACGTGGCCAGGCCGCCGGGGGCAGCAGGATTAAAGCAAGCCGGCGCGTTAACGTGCTGTGCCGTGTAACTAGTGGATGTGCTTCGTCGTCGCTCCTGTCTGCGTCTCGCTCGGTCACGTTATCAACCAGCCAGTTCGCCGTCTCGCTCGCTCTTGGTGTGCCCTCCGCTCGGAGCTTGGACCGGTCGTCATCCTGGATAACGCTCGCTCACCGCGGAGCCAGGCCTGCGTAGCAACGCGCCGACCCGGACCCGCGACGCCGCTGAATCAACAGGTGGGAATCTGCGAACTAACAGGTAGATATGCACGCACACACCTACCCGTTTTCGATTTTTCTAATGCGACCCGGCCACCGCCGCTGAGCCGGCAGCTGTCAGTTGCCAGGTGGCGCACAGGCTAACCGCCTCTCTTCTCTGTCTGCGTGCCTCCTTCAAATTCCTCGAGCTCGCGGGACCAAGACGCTACGGGCTACACGCGCGCGTATAAGGGGACTCGGCCTTTTTCAGTTGATTCGCGCGAATCGAGCCTGCCGTTACCCGGTCCGCACCTGCCTGACCTCAACGCGTTTCGTTGCATGTTTTTTTCTTTCGTTCGCATGCGGCGCGCCGTTCGAATGATTCTTGCCGCTAACGCCGTGCGTACGTAGCAGGAGACCGGCAAAGATCATTCGGTGTACGTTCCTTTGGCTCGAATCGGAGCCGTTACACGTGCGAACGAAAATGCGGTCGTTGCGTAACGAACCGACGTAATCCTCGCTTCGGTCTTTCGTCTCGCTGGAATTAGGCAAACATTATGATAATGCTAGCGGTAATGATCATTTGGATTCGACGCGTTCTTTTGGAGTAGATCGTAGGTAGGTCGTAAAACCCGTGAGTCGATTGTAGCTTTGACAACAACGAAGTCGATTATGCCGGCGTGGAAATGCGAAGAGTTGCGGTTTGCGTGGGGATGTTACACGTTTTATTTCGAGCAATGATTTGGAGGAATTGTGGAATTTTTATACTTTGAATCTATTTAGTAAAATGATTTGAATGTTCTATTCTGAAGGGAACGGCGAAATGTTGTAGCTGAACAAGTAGGATCGACATTGAATTGAATCGAAATTTGAATACAATTTGTATTTGAAGAATTCGGTCTGGAATAACCGTGACGGCGAGGTGTACCGTTAGAAGTAAAAATTGAGTACGTTGTTTACGTCGGGACTTCCTTAATTTTAACGGACCGTGCTTCTTTCGCGCGAGAAATGCCTCGAGATAACGATCCCTACCGGATCCTCCGGTATTCGTGCGGCGTTGTAGCGCGATTCAACATCCACGCTAGTGTACCAAGAACGAGCTCACAACGGGATATCGCGGCACGAGTTGCGCGCATCCCCGATTGTATGTACTCGCCATTAACAGCACGCTAAACATTCTCAGGAAGTTTTTCTCACGCACGGACCTCGACCATTTCCCGGCCGGTTGTTCCGTTCCCCGTGTCACTTTCCCTCGTTTCGCGTGCGATTGTTTATAATAACGCGTTTCGGGGAACGACTTTGCCAATTCTGATAATTACAACCCGATTTCCCAGTTATATTATACGAACGCCGGTTTCACATCGCTTTAAAGTTCAATCGTTTTTCGGAGCGCTTGAAGTATGAGTATCTTTTCATACGTACGGTGAGCGAATACTGAAAGCTAAAATTCCCACCGCAGAAAATAAAAAATGGCGTCCGCTTCGCTCTCGCATAAATCCGTATCTCAATTAGCGAATTTGCATGCACGTCCTTATCTTACTAATAAGTTACACCCATGCAAATCCGTTTCAATAGAGTTCCTCGAGAAAAGAGAAAAATATTCAAGCTCCCCGTGCGTTGTATCCATACGTGGCGGCCTTGACATCCGCTCGATACATCGCACCGAGTGCCTTGACCTTTTCGTCGATAAATCCGTGGGTAGCTTCTTCCTCGCGTCGAAGGTCGACGCTTGCTTCCTTTTCCAGCGTTTCGACACGATCGTTTTTCGAGCGGCGCGGGAATACGCCGCCTCGAGGGTAGAGTACAGTATTATACGCGGCGCGAGCGCTCGGAGAATAGCATCTTGTGCAACGCTCGAGGATTAGCGCTAGCCAGCCAGGCCGGTCGGTGTTTTTCGTGCGATCGGGAACGGAGGAGGCGAGCGAGTCTCCCGGCTCGGTCTCTCTAACCGAGCACCGAATAATTAAACCGATTCAATACGCCATTGTGAGCTAATGGCAGAAGTATAATGGAATTACTGGCCGCGGCTGAACGGCAAATATCGTGTAGTTTGACGGTAGAATGGAGTGAAAAATTGCTATCCGCGAGGCTCCTCTGTACGCGCCCCGCGCATCCCCCCGCGGTCGACGGTGCAAACGCGGAGGGATCACAAAACTTGCCTACGATTGTGCCTCCTCTCGTTTCCCTAGGCCGGTTCCGCGCATGCAATCGAATCGGAGCCGCGTCTCATGAATGAATCATGACTACCTTTAAGAAACCCAGAGGATCTACCGGCTGGGTACGGGGAACCTTCACGTGCCGGTCATCGATACAGGTAGCTTGTCCCCCACCCGGCGCGCACTTGTTAATTATGGCCTCGTGCAAAACTCTCGGCACGTATCCCCAACCCCTCTGCCAACCATAGACTGTCCGAGTGCCACGCTTGTTAAGTTACCATTAACTAATATATCGATCGGATTACCGATTCGAGCCGGGTCGCGACCTCTCGCGAACGAATTAAAGTGAAAGCCTCGTCTACCCGCCGCGGCCGCAACTTTGAACTCGCCGGCGATTTTACGACTGCTTCTTCAAACGAGAGATTCATGGTTTCTACGCGCCGAAAGGCGTTATAAGTATCTAGGAAAAGGGGCTGAAAAACGGCGGAGGCGTATTGCGTATATGAAACGGATGATGTATCGGCTAGGGAATATAGCCGGCGCAGCGAGAATCATATTTTCTTTTTTCTTTCGTTCCGCTGCTAGACGGAAAGAGAATTTATGCGGGTTGTTACCGCAATTATGGAAGTTATGGAAAGCGACGAAAGTAGGGTAAACCAATCTCTTCCGCGCGGTTTACACAAACGGTCAGATAAAATCTGAATTTTAAGCGCTTAATGCTCGCGAAATGTTTCAATCGTTGCCCGCTTCTACGCACGCTCGCCGACGGTTTAGATGTTCAAACACGCGTCTCCGCGTAATCCTCGACTTGTTTCCTCGATTCTCGGTAAATGTTTGCGGTGATATCGTGCGTTCTCACGACTTCTTGTGTACAATCCTCGTCGACGGTAGACGTTACTTGAGACGTTCGGATCGATTGAATTTTAAATCGAGGAAAACTTGCTTCTCAAAGGTCAATACAACTCGCGCGTAATCGTAACTTCTGGGTTTGTAAACTCAAAATGGATCTTTCCTATTCCACAGAAACGATTTTTTCCCATTTTTCGTAATCTATTTTCAGCTATGACAAATTAATTATTACAATTCATAAAATGAAACAATTATTTTTATATATTTTAATTTCCACGGTTATCGTGTATCGTAATTCACCTTGAATTTTCGAATTTGAATACGATCGTATTTACGTAAACGCATGAAGAATCATCGTTCGCGGCGCTGTTCCACGTACTACACGAATTGTGTGCCTCTCTTTCGACGGTCCTTTAAACACATACGGTCGCAGACTGGTCGTGTAAAAAAGAACTCGTGCGTCGCGGCACAACGTAAACAGTACACACATTCATCTCGTGCCGCATACGGTGTCTTTATCTCGGAAACATTCGGGTCACAACACGAGCCCGGCGTGTTTTTCTTTTACGGGGTTTCGGATTTCAAGTCGCCCGAGATTCGTCAATGAACCGAGCATGTAGCGTTTCTGGGAAACGACGTTGTCCGCGATCATTCAGCGAACCTAAAGTAGAACTGTCCGCGTCTTCGAAACGCCGTATACGGTGGATTCCTTTTAACACGCTGGCTGTCGGGCTGACGGCTATAAAACTTTCGCGGTGTTAAACTGTTGCTCTTAAAGGTGCGGAATTTACGCGGGCAAGGATTTATCGTGTGACAGAGTTTCATGCAAATCTTGATTCGTCATCTTGACTTTGTTAAAACTTAATAATAAGCGGCCTCTGCTTTTATGGGCCGTACAATAACATTCCAGAAAATGGTTTCCAGGTTAATTAGACTGGCAGCACTCGTTATCTTCGCGTACATACGTTTAATTTTTTCCTCAAAATCATCGTGACCCAAATGGAACGAACATTTTAAATGTAAAATATAGAATTCATGAAATTCTCGGTTAATGTTTAATATTCTTCGCGTTCCGCATACTCGCGTTAGACGAGTACCTTATAAATTATTAACATCCGTGGTCTACTTGTGACTTAACGTGTCGTTGCAGGAGTGATTTTTTCTCTCTTACAGTAGCGCCTGGCCACCCGATCACGATGTGCCAGTGAAAGTGTTAATGAACCGAATGGGGCGCTCGATTAACGAAGATGATTGAAGATAATTTGACGCGTTTTGCCCTGCGGCGGTTTTGAATTGAATGTAATTCATTGTAATCGAAAGAGCGGTGTACAATTAAACATGAGTTTCTTTAAATAAATAACGCGGTGAAGAGTTATTGGCAGATAAGACAGGCTTGTCTTCTCTAATGAATATATTCTCTTCGATGGTTCCTGACGCTGAAGAGACAGTCGTACAAATAGCCGGCAGAGGCTACATTGAACGTAAATTATAATTATTAATACGTCAAAGGGGAGGTTACATAAGCTGCACCTTTCACTTTCTGTTTTAGACAAATCTCTATCGCACGAATTTGCCCGGGGAATATAAGGGTACAGTTACAAATTGCAATCACGTCGGTTCCGATGTGATTGAAATGTTTTGCATTGTTTCAATATGGTGGCACGAGCATTGCGCAAGCAAGCTCGCGATTCAAAAGGAATTGCATTTTTTTCATGTGTCTCCGAGCCGATGCAATTGTTAGTTACATAATTGGACAGCGAGATTTACAGACGCAAGGAAGCTCTCTTTTTTTTTTTGACGAATCAAAATTATCGCATTTCCTCGATCGCTTTCAGCGTCATTATCGTTGATTAATTTCGCTTTTTCTTTCGTATTTAACGAGTCGTTGCTTCTAAATCAATACTCAAGCACCTGTTTCACCAATCACTCGCTGCATACGTAATTTAATGGCCGAACGTTACTCCGGCTCGTAATACTTGTTGAATTTCCTCGCTGGTTGCGGGGAATCTTGTAGCGAGTTACGGTATTGTAGGATATTTCTTTATTGCTAGCACTT